TTTTGCATAAGTTCTCCTCTTCTTCGGCATATTGCTCTGTTTTCTGTGCCGTTTCTCTTTTGAACTCCTGAAACATTACGGTGAATAATAAGGAACGGCGTTGTTCTACTTTGGAGAAGAAAGGGGGGGGGCATTCCGCAAGTTCCTTTTGTTAGCCCCTGTTGATCAGCAGATCTCACTTTGGTGAGACCTGCAAGCTCTTGTCAATCTGCAAAGAGTGGTGCATGTGAGCCACTTCGGTCGAAGGAATTCACAGGTTTTCACAAGATGACCTGTACGTGCTTAGCTAGATACCATTGAATGGCCCCACCTAGTCGCATTCCCGCCCAAAACACGATGATTTTTGCAATAGGGAAAAAAGTAAAGGAAAGTGAAAACACCTGATATCCTTTCATTTCTTCCTTCGCAGCAGAAACATTCTCGCGCACACGATCAACCTGCTTCCGTAACGAGTCCATTTCTTGCTCCCAGTTGTCATTCTGTTTCTTTAGGTGATTGAATCGCTCGCTAGCTGCGAGGACCTGAATTGCTAAGGAAATAAAAAACATCGAGGACGCATTATAGCTCGTTCTACTTCATGACACTGGAAAATTAAAGAATTGCGGACTTGAAAGGACCGGAGAATCGGTGAAAAAAAGAAGTGGAGAGAGAATCGATAGGCATCGAATCCCTCTCTCTGATTCTTCTGATTTCGGATTCTCTGAAATCCACGGTTCCCTCATTTTCATTGTCGCAAGGTATGAGCATGGCCTTGGTCATGGCCAAAACCCGAAACGCACCTTATCGGAGTATAAATTTCTGTTCGTAAGCGTATCGACGTCGTCGGTTAGACTCGTATTTGATGCAGCTAAATAATAATCAGAAACTGAACACATTCCCGCCAATAAAAACAAAACAACCTCACTATTTCATTCTGCCTCGTTGAATACTCCTTTTCCTGCTTTCCCTCCTTTTCTATTTTCGCCCGCAATTTTTGCATCTGGAACATGGTATTTTCAACAAAAAATACGGTGAGCTCCTAATGTATGCTTCATATCACAGAGATGGTCAGGACGTGGCTACGAACTTCATTTGGATGAGGTATGAACTGATGAGGTATTGCTTTGGGACAAATGTAATCATTTCTGCCCCACAAGTCGGGATGGCTCAG